AGGGAGGAAGGAAAGAAGGAAGGAAGGAAGGAAGGAAGGAAGGAAGGAAGGAAGGAAGGAAGGAAGGAAAGAAGGGAGGAGCGACAAAATACTGGTCCCGGCGTCTAGACACTTGGGATCCCTTCCTCCCTCCTTCACAGGCCGAGTCAGGCAGGAGAGGTCTGGACTCTGAGGCCGGGCGGGCCCATTTGCACAGGCTGGGGCTCCTGTCAGCCGGGCCTGCGCCAGGCCTCTGCGGACGGCCCGGAACCCGGCACGGCTCTCTCTTCCGGACGCCTCGGTGTGTTGGCCGGGCCACGCGTGGCCTGTGGTGTTGGGGCGTCTCGTGCGCACACACACACACGCAGCGCTGGGCTTGGCCGGGCTGGCGCTGCGCTGCTCGAGCCATACCTCCCGCCCTGCTTAGTTTTCGCGGATTATCTGGGAGGTGGTGGGGTCTCCTGGATTTTGGGGGGGGCGGCGTGGGGAGTGGGGTGGAGGTCCGGGCTGGCTTTGAACTGTGAGCCTAAGGATCTCAGCCTCCTGGAGGAGGTCGATGGCAGGTGTGGGGGTCACCGGCCCCTGACCCCCGGGGTGCTCACTTCTTGTGAACGTGAGGAGGGGCGGGGGGAGAAGGAAGATGCCAGGCTGCCAGCAGCAATGGTGTACACGCACATGCACACGCACACACAGAGCCCCACTGCAGAGATGCAGGTGAGTCACCAGGAGGAGGAGGCCGGTTGCTTAGCAACCATGTGCTGTCTCCTAGCCAGGGGTGAAAGGTCAGCTCACCTTGAAGGTACTGCTGAGACCTGTTTCTGGAACCTTCTCCTGTCTGGGTGGAGGAGTATACGCACAGAACAACGAACAACAATGAAGTCACTGTTCTCCCTTCTACCAATTCATGGAGTCCATCCTACAGCTCATCATATCCACAAGGAAAGAAATAATAATAATGCAAAAGAAGCCGGCGCCCGTGGCTCCAGCCTGCCATCCCAGCTGCTCAGGAGGCCGGGAGCTGAGGATCACGGTGCGAAGCCAGCCAGGGCAGGAAAGGCCGTGAGACTCTGATCTCCAGCAAAAAGCTAGAAGTGGCGCAGTGGCTCAAGTGGTAGAGCACCAGCTTTGAGAAAAAAAAACACCTCATGGACAGAGCCCAGACCCTGGGACCAGCACACACACACACATGTGCACACGTGCGCATGCACACACGCTCACACATGCGTGCACATACGTGGACACATGCATACACGCGCACACATGCATGTGCACACACAAATAGAGGAAGAGGGTTTAGGGTTTAGGTGCAGAAAAGACTTTCCAGAGAAGCTACACTTGCATTGGAGGGGAG